CATACTGGCAAATGCACAGACACCCACTCTCACTCTGTTTTCATGCCAATCTCAGTCACCCTCAGGACTCCAAGGGGCCATGCTGTCCCATCTTAGGCCTTTGTACCAGCTCCTCTTTCTGCCAGACCCCTTCTCTTCCCTTCCCCTCCCTCCCTCCCTCCCTCCCTTCCTTTCTATTTATTTATTGTAGTGTTTGTGTGAGTTTGTGTGCCCCATGTATACAGGAGTCCATGGAGGCCAGAAGTGGGGGTCAGAGCCCCTGGAACTGGAGTTATAGGTGGTTGTTAGTTACCATGTGGATGCTGGTAACCAAGCCTGGGTCCTCTGCAAAAGCAGCCAATGTTCTTAACTGCTGAGCCATCTCTTCAGTCCCAACGCCCCTCTTTTCTGCTCTCACCCACCTTTCTCCTGGCTAGCCCTTCAGGTTTTAGAAGGAACCTTCTCTGGAAACCACCTCTGGGTGTCCAAGTCTAGGCCAGGTCCCCCTTGGCCCTGAGCCCACTGTTCTTCTCCTAGCAGAACACTTGATAGGCTGTACTGTCATACCACATCCTCTCATCATCTCCACCACACTGCCGACACTGAGAAGGCCAGGACCTAAAGCTCTTGGAAAGAGTAGGCAGTCACTAGACAACTTTTGAATAAATGAATGGAAGAATGAATGAATGAATGCATAACTTAGCTTCCTGTTGTAGGTCTGTATCAGTAAGGAATTCTGAACTGAGTCACAGCAGATCCATCCAGCTGAGCAGGTCAGCATGTTTAATTGCTCTGCCTACAAGGAGACTTAGAGAGATCAGCTTAGTCTTTTTGAGCCCCTCCCTTGGTTTTCTGGTAACAAGACCTTCTCCCTAAGTCTGGAACATTATTCTCAGATCTGCTGTCTGTGCAGTGGGATCCTGCAAGATCTATTGGTTCTATCAGGTCAGTTTAGCTTATGTTAAAGGACCTTTTTCCCTCTAAAATGTTTTCCTACCATCAATCCATGCTCAAAATTTTCTCATTAAATCCATTTTATTTTTGGCCCAAGGCTTAAATTTCAAATTAAGTTTAAAAAAAAAAAATTCCTGCCAGGGTGCATGCCTGTAATCCCAACACTTGGAGGGTAGATGCAGGAGGAATAGAGTTAAGGCCAACCACAACTCCATAGTAAGACTCTATTATAAAAATAAAACAAAACGGGGCTGGAGAGATGGCTCAGTGGTTAAGAGCACTGACCACTCTTGCAGAGGACCCAGGTTTGATTCCCAGCACCCACATGGTGGCTACAAACTGTCCTTAACTTCAGTTCCAGGGGAATCCGAAGCCCTCTTCTGACCTCTGCAGCATCACACGACACATGTGCACTCACATACATGCAGGCAATACACTCGTAACACATAAAATAAAAATAATAAATAAAATATATACATAAAAAAACAAAGCAGGGAGTGGAGAGATGGCTCAGTGGTTAAACACACTGGTTGTTTTTCCAGAGAACCCAGGTTCAGTACCCAGAACCCACATGGCAGCTAATAGCCATCCTCAATTCTAGGTTTGGGGATCGGATGCCCTCTTCTGGCCTTTATGGGCATTGCACACATGGGCGCACTTACATTCATGCAGACAAAGAACTCATGTATACTAAAAATTAAATAAATGAATAAAAATTTAAAACTCATGGAAGATTGATCAATAATCAAATAGATACCCATATGCAAGCATTAATTGATTTTTCAATTACTTTTCAGAAAGCACCCTTCACCCAAAGGTTGAGACTAGGAAGAGTAGAGCCCAAGGTGTAGGGAGGGAAGCGTGCTAGAGGAAGCCCCAGGGCCCAGATGATAATGTGAGGCAGACACATTAGCTTGCTATAAGGATAGTGATCATCAGTTGGCTGCAAGGATTGGTAAGGAAGTGGTGACCAATCTGGGAATTTCAGGACCTCCAGGGGATTTCCTAGGCAATGGGTGGTCCTAGTCTATGTTCCCCATGAAGTGACAGAGGGCTTGGTCATATGAATGACATGCCCCCTTTCCTGAATTGTAGGTGGCAGAGATGACTTAATTATCTTCACAGATGTTCAGAACATTTCTGTGTGGTTAGTAGCTAGTAGGGATATTCTAGTACCTCTTGAGACACCTACCTGATGCTCCTAGGGATGCTGGTTTGGGATTCAATTTGTTTTCCCCACAGAAAGATACTCTTGGTGCTGGGAGGTTTCTGGGCTTGGCTACCTCCCAGCCTGGGCCAGGTGCTCTTTTAGCTCTTGGCAAGGGAGTCATTCCTGAACTTCTGAACACCCCCTACTATGAATCCCTCTGAAATCTCCAGAAAAACAGACAGACATTAATGACTAAACCAGAGAGCCATTCTTTTTGGATTCAAGCTAGAAGGGGACAGTTTTTGAGGTAGAGTGACCCAAGATCTGAAAGCCATCAGAATTGTTTGCCACCAAGCCTACAGAAGGTAGCAACATAGCCTAGCCTGTATTAACCCTGGAGTCCAGACCCAGCATGAACAGGCTGGAACTCTCAAATGCCATGTATACCTCCTGTTCCTTAGGGGAAGTGAGGAAAGCATAAATAAGGGAACTCCAAAGGGAACCCCTGTGGCCACCAAGGGGGTAGCCACTGGACCTGAATGGATTATCATGGAACTGAGTAAATAACCAGGGGACCTATATAGTTTCTTCACATAGGAGTGCCTACAGCACGGCAACTCTGCTTTTATTCTCATGGAGTAAGGACTACAGTCACATGTCTACAGGACTGAATAATAATAAAATGGCTTCTCATACTCATGAGAACCACAGTCACATGTTTACAGAACACTGAATAATAATAATATGGCTAGAATATTATTCAGCAAAAGAAGATGAGCACAAGGCTGGAGAGATGGCTCAGTGGTTAAGAGCACTGGTAGCTCTTGAAGAGGACTGGGGTTTGAGTCCCAGCACACACATGGCAGCTAAAACCATCCATAGGTCCAGTTCCAGGGGATCCGACACCCTCTTCTGGACTCCGTGGACACTGCACAAAATGGGTGCACCTACCCATATGCAGGCAATACACTCATACACATAAAATAAAAATAATAAATTTTTTTAAAAAGAAGGTGATCAAAACACCGTATATACATGTATGAAATTCTCAAAGTTTTTGTAAAAGTTAAAAAAGAAAGAAAAGTTTAAAAAAAAAAGATGAGCACAGCAACATTATCTCCATGCTATGTCTACTTAGGAGGTCAACATTTTTCATGAGAAACAAGAGGGGAGCACCCACATTCTGGAGCTGTCTTCCCAGCAAGCATTCTTACATAAACTTTCTCATGAGACACAAGGCTCTCTAGGCATACATGCTCAAAGTTCATCTTAATTCACCAAGCATATTTTTAGTCATAGAAACACTGTTTCACAGTCCCTTCAGACCCCAAAGTTGGTCTGTGTGCCAAGGGACATGAAGTGAAGGGGAAAAGGAGACTGGTAAAGCCAAATCTCAGCCTTCCCCACCACCCACCAGCCTCTGGGGGACAGGTGTGGCAGGGAGACAACAGAAGCAAGGGTTTTGGACAATGAACACACAGGTGCAGGCATGCAGACTGGCAGACTGAGAATGTATATTCTGGGTGACTGGTGATGGTGACAGGGTTGGAACAGACACACCTCTGGAGAAGCCTGAGGAAGGCATGTGGGAGCTGAGACTGAGGGGGGAAGTGACCTATGTCCAAGAGGGAATGAAATGAGTGAGTGATCCATTGTGGAATGGGCAGGAAAGGTGAAAGAGGTGGCATAGCCTGGGCCTAGCTCCTCAGATCACATCTTGGTGGAATGAGAAAGCCCAAGGAGAGGTCTCTGCCTCTCTGGTGGGTCCTTTGGCTGACACAGTCCAAGCTTGATGCTCTCTGGAACCATTCCTGCTGGCACAGGCTCTGAATGCCTCACCCTCTGGAAGGTCATTGTGAATCATGTTGGTACCTTTGCTGTCTCTGGGACTACAGGGCTGTCCCTTCTCTGCCCCTCCACACTCATCCCTGCACTGAAAGTCCCCAGTCCCTTCAACCTGCTCTCTGGCATTATCAGCTCAGGAGCATCAGGAAATCAGGCAATCCCTCAGGAACTCAGGCAGCAGATTCTTCTTCTATTTGGCTTCAGACTATCTACAGACTGACCTCTGCTTCTTTTTCCTGAGTGGTCCACTCTCCTTATCAACCCTACATGTCTGGGATCAAACTCTATTCTTCCTCAGACAATTATGAACCCCTCATCTAAAAAGTGGGCTTCCTGTGATGACCCCTTAGGTGTTAAGGGAATCAAATGATATGTGGACATCTGGTGGCAAGCCCACTGCAGGTTCTCCAAAATCAAAGCCCACTTTGAGCAGCTTTTAGGTTCCTGGATACTTACAACATGCCCTTACAGTCCCAGGACCTCGGGGGTACCTTTCATGGCCCTTCCAACTTCCATAGCTATGAGTCCTGGACATAGAGCTTTCTCTCTCTAGGAAGGCCAAGCTTCTTTTCTGGTTTGAGCAAGCCACATGTGGAGTAGAACTGATCTCTTGGAAGATCACCCAAAGATGGATGTGGGGTATCTCCAGCCCACTCCAATGTCTTCATTCCCTCACAAAGCAGAGGATCCCTGCACCCCTGTGGCCTGCTGTGCACAGTAGGAGCCAGAATGAAGGGGAAGCTAGTCTGCAAGAATCCCGTGCCCAACAGCTTGAAAGTTCAACCACACCCAAGAGGCTGGGCTGCAGAGCTGGGGGCTGCAGGCTCTGGCAGTCAGTGATTTGGAATTTGTGTCCTGAGAAGGGGCTCCAAAAGGAGCTGGCAGCTGGTTCCACGACGCCTAAGACTCTCTCCTTCTACTTTACCACAACAGCCCTTAAGCTCACTGGTAATCACACAGAAATGGCTCAAAGCCCATAGGATTCCCCACATGGACACATACCTGTCCATCTACAGCCAGGGCCTTTCGCCATCTAGACCCCACAAACAGAAGGAGAAAGGAGGATACTCACAAATATCAGCCCGCCGAACATTCTTCATCCGGATGACCCTCACTGTCAACAGGTGGCATGGAGACGTCCCCTCCTGTGGGTTGACAGGAAAGTAGAATCATTCCTCAAGCACCTCGTCAAGGCCAGTGCTGCTGGAGAGACCTCTCCACATTCACCTTCTTACTGACTTGCATTGGAGCAACGTCCACGTCAGTTTGTCATTGTTTACTTGGGTTTCTGTCTTCTTTCCTACATAGAAATTTCTAGAAGTTTCTAAGAGCCTGAGTCTTTGTATACTTTTTCATTCTTTTTTTAAAAAATATATTTATTATTTTTATTTTATGTGTATGAGTGTGTTGCCTGCACGTTTGTGAGTGCGCCCATGTCGTGCAATGCCACGGAATCCAGAAAAGGGTGTCGGATTCCTCTTGGAACTGAAGTTAAGGATGGTTTGTAGCTGCCATGTGGGTGCTGGGAATGGAACTTGTTTCCTCTGCAAGAGCAGTCAGTGCTCTTAACCCCTGAGCCATCTCTCCAGCCCCAACTTTTTCATTCTTGTACCTCTATGCTGATATATGTGTATGTTTATGTGCGTGTTTATGTGTGTGTGTTTCTATGTATATATATAAAATTTGTTAAGGGAATGGATAAATATACTGGCCCAGGCACTAAGGGAATCCTGACATATTTTTACTTTTCTTCTTGTCCAACTTTTTAAAAAATATATTTTATTTATTAGTTTAATTTTATGTGTAGTAGTGTATTGCCTACATGAATGTAAGTGCACCCACATAGTGTAATGCCTGAGGGGGTCAGAAGAAGGTGTCAGATTTCCTGGAACTGGAGTTACTGATGGTTGTTAACTGCCATGTGGGTGCTGGGAATCAAACCTGGGTCCTCGTCAAGAGCAGTCAGTGCTCTTAACTGCTGAGCCATCTCTCCAGCCCCCTATTGTTTAACATTTTATTCTAATCCAATACAGACAGAAAATTTCCCTTGCCCACCCAGTTTCCCTTGCCTACCACTGAGAAGGCAGGCATAGGGTTGTTGAGAAGGGTCGCAAACTCCTGTAAAGCTGCAACACCTGCTCACTGGGAGTGCTCATGCCAGGGGCTCACCAGCACCCTGGATCTTAGCTCAAGCCCAGGGCCTTTGCATCTCCCTTCGTACCAGAGCCCTCCAGCAAACTCCCCGTCCCCCATATCTTCCTGGACACTGTATTTCTCTTTTAGTAAGCCACCTGCTTCTTGTGTCTTTACTGTGCCTTGCAATTGGTACCTGTGAAGTTTTGGCTAATGTGACAAAAGCACAGGTAATCTTCGATGTGATGACTGATGGCTATTAGATGCCTCCACCAGCATTGCTAACCCCAAGGACTAGAGCCCTCGGGTTTCCACTTCTTCCTCAGTGCTTCAGCCTTGATGGCTGGAACTGAGGGCGCACCCTGAGCCTTGCTCATTTGATGCTGATGTTTCACCTTCTGTCCTGTTCCTCTTGTTTTGATCACGTGCTGGGAGCCCTGCCATCATCTTAAGGCCTACCCACCTTAAGTCAGCATCTGCCTTCTCCAGGCCAAGTCCTTCTCCCTCAGCAGGCATCTTTGTCTTACTCTATTAGTTGCTTATCACCTGCAGATCCACTTTTGCTCTCCTTCAACCCTATTTACTTTCTGCCTCCCATATGCCCTGAAACCACGTCTTCTCAACTCTCAATGTGTCCCCACATCTGTGTATTGCCCACTGAAGGATGTAATTCTCTCTCCAGTCCCCCTCTACTCATTGCTCCCTGACACGGTTTCAAGATTCTGTTTCACACTTCCCTCTGCCTCTGTTACATCTGGTCTTCCAGAGCTCAGGGATATACTCCCACCAGTATGGGTCCCCTGCCACCATGGTACTTGGAGTACACCTCCTGATTGCCTCTCTGCATGGTGATACCATCTTCTCTGTCTTGTGACTTTTAAGCAGTGTTTTCTGAGCAACTACTGTGGTCCAGGCCCTAAGCTAGATGTCCGGGAGTGAGAGAGACTCCAAAGCAGAGGGTGGGCAGAGTTAATGGCAAGGACAGAAGGGCAAGCTAACCACAGGCTCCCACTACCCACCCTGGGGACATTCTGGCTACAGAAGACTATCACATTTCCAGACTCTTCTAGCCCCTTAGGATCCTAGTATTTTGAGTTAATGGGCTGATGCTCCTCCTGGTCCCTCTGAGGCAACAGAGAGTGAGGCTCCATGTCCGTTCTCTTTAGGAGTCTTGATTCTTTCTTTTGGCTCATGCCCTTTCTGTTTAAACTTAAGACTTAAAACCCTTTTCCTTGAGTGTGTTGCTCAGGTATAGTCCAGTCCTTGGAACTTCCCACTCCCAGACCCAGCCCGAGTCAAACCTACTGACTCCCCAACCCACCATGTCTGTCTGTGGAGGCCTCCCAACTAAACCTTCCTCCTCACCCGGCATATGCCTTCCAGGGATGCTAGAAGTACTTTGTGCCTTTTTCAAAGGAGGTAGTTCTTTTTTCTTTAAAGAATATTGAAATTTGTGGAAAAACAAAGTTTGGCAGAAAGAAGAAAAATGTCCTCATAGTGTCCTCATCCAGAGAAAATCCGTATTATCATTTTGCCACCTGTCTTTCCAGACTTTTCCTGGAGCTTCATTCCAACCAGCAATAGAACAACAATTCTGAGGAAGTAGCTATTTAGTACCTGATAGGTGTATATAGTTCCAAGATCTTTTCCTTTCCTTTCTCTAGTAGCTGCCTAAAAGCAGAACAATAGTCAATTGGACAGTCACTTGCAGCTCCATGGACCTCTTCTGTTAGTCTAATGCTAAAGTTTTTAGGTCAGTTCTGCTGTGAGCCTTGTGACCTGAGCCAAAGGCTCTTCCAGTGCTTCTGGCCTATAGTTGGACCTCTCCAGGCTTGGTGAGTGCCTCATTTTTTACCCTGTCCTGGGCAGAGCAGACCCTGGACTGGCTGAGTAAGGAGGCAAGCATTACCTTTCATGAGGAGTGTGTGGTCCTGACAAACCTGGCCCTACTCCCCACTTTCTCATAGGTACCTGGAGTTCTGTGGGGAGCAGTGAAGGCCTTAGCCCAGGCTTTTTTCTTGCCTGGGCTCACATTGCAGAGCCCATGGGCCTCTCATCCACCACAGTCCTGTGGTCTCCAAGAGTTGTCTTGGCTATCCCAGCTCCTTTGCTTATCCACTCTAGGGAGAGAGAAGCACCCACAGTTTCTCTTGAGACCTTACTCAAGGTCTCCTACCTTGAAGGAAACTTTCTCTCCTGACATCTAACCCCAGTGCCTGCTGATGAGAGTGGCCGTTTCTGCTTACTCTGTCATTCTCTGCAACAATAACAGCAACATCAGTGACCATGGGGCTACCATGGGTCATATACTATGTCTACATACTCTAGAGATGACGATGATAAAGAAGATGCTGATGATATTTGAACACAACTGATAGAATCAGCCTACGTGGAGACAAAGTTTCTATTTTTCCCCCCTAAGATATAGCAAACAAGAGTGTTAAAAGCAAACAACAACAAAAACCCCAATGGACCAGGGTTGCTTAAAGCCAAAACGTACAGAGGCCAGAGAGATGGCTCAGAGGTTAAGAGCGCTGACTGCTCTTACAAAGGACCTGGGTTCGATTCCCAGCACCCACAAGGCGGCTATGAACTGTCCTTAACTCCAGTTCCAGGGGAATCCGACGCCCTCTTCTTGACCTCTGTGGCATTGCACGACACAGGTGCACTCACATACATGCAGGCAATACACTACAAAATCTCCAGGCGTGGTGGTGCATGCCTTTAATCCCAGCACTCGGGAGGCAGAGGCAGGTGGATCTCTATGAGTTCAAGGCCAGCCTGGTCTACATAGTGAGTTCCAGGACAGCTGGGGCTACAGGGAGACCCTGTCTCAAAAAGACCAAAAAAAAAAAAAAAAGCCACAAAAGCATATATACATATGTGTGTGCATATTCACTAGAGATTATTATTTGGTGTTTTCTCATATAACCCATATTGGCCTGAGCTCCCTATGTAGCTCAGACTGGCTTTGAACTGACCTTCCTGCCTCCTAAATGCTGGGATTATAGTTGTTACACCATTTAGGTACATCTCTCAATTCCTGCACTTAAGTTTAAAGTAAATATATTCCCTCTTTCTCTCTTCCTTTTTTTTGAGACAGTTTCACTGTGTAGTTTCATGGCTGGAACTCACTACGTAGACCAGGCTGACCTCAAACTCACAGAAATCTGCCTGTCTCTCCATCGCCAGTCCTGGGATTAAAGACGTATGTCACCACACTCAGCTCTCTCTCTTTCATTTTTACTTAATAAACCCAACTCAATTTCATGCTTACTTGTCCTGGAATTCTTTCCTACATTGTAAAGAGTCTGTCCATACCAGAATAGAGGTCCCTAAAGGGGGACAAGTCTCAGGCTACAGTCTACAGAATCCAGTTGTGTCTTGTGCGACAGTTGACAACTCCGCTGAGCAGTTAATCATTAGTTTTGCACCACAGATAGAGAACCTGGGACTAAGTCCTTTGACCTTGGGTCCTCAGTGGAATCAGAGTTTGAACTCAACTTTGATTCTCAAACCTGAGTGCCACTGCTACCCTCTCATTTGAGGGACTCTCAACAAACATGGAGAGGCACTTTCTGCCCTCATCTGCCCTGCCTTGATCGTCTCTTACAAGATCAATTTTCCTGACAAATTCCTATTTTCCACCCTGAATTCTCCCAGAGCTCTTGGGTAAGCCCCATACTTGGCCATCTTTCTGTTCCTATTGGCCACATAGCCACGGACATACCCCATGACCATTCTCTTTTTTTATGAGTGCTCAGAGCACATCACAACCCTCAGGGTCCTTGAAGACATTTTTATTTTCTAACAGACACAGAAGGCACCTTTCTACTCTACCTTGAACTTCAGATTTCAGGTAAAGATTTCTCCTAGCTCAATTTTTTTCAGGAGAGACCCAATTTCAAAGCAATCTAAAAAGTGTTCTTACATTTCATCAGCACCGAGTAGGACATGGAAGGGATTTGAGACATACTGAAGGATGGTACTAGAAGAAAGGAAGCAGCAGTAA